AGTTTATTTAATTAGTGGATAGATTCCGAATTGATTTATAATATAAAATATTGATCAACTGGTTATATACATTGATATAATGTAGCTAATTAATTACTGTTCACTAGACCAAGTCATTAAATAAGCCATCAGTGAACTGATATTCCGAATATAAGATGGTTGTTCAGTTCAATAAATTTTTGTTCTAATAAAATGACATATTAGAAGGCAAATTATAAAAACAAAAATAAATATGATTAGATGGTACAAACATCCGGGCACTAAATGTATTTTACATCAGTCCTCCTCTGATGATTTATTACTATGACTATCATATTACTAACGTTATAACTGTAATATTATTTTTTGAGAGAACAATTGTATTTCTCACAGATTTAAGCCTCAATTTAAGTTGACGCTATGCATTCAACTGAGTTTATTTATTTTCATTTATGGACAACTAACAATTACTTCTAGTATGATATTGAAACTATCGTTATACATCAAGAAAAAACTGAGAAAGGTAAACAGTACAGTACATTTACATAGTATAGTATGTATTATTGTAACTGATAGCAGTAGTCATGAATTACATGATATCACTATATGACCAAGGTTATAACAAAAACAAAATATTATTGTTATTTAATAATTATCAGTATAGGGGTTGTGGAACTTATTAAGTTTCTGATTGAGATCATGAACCGATTAATGTTAGATCCCTATTGAAAACCTGGAAGCACTGGACGGCCATCTCGTCCTATTGTCGGACTCTTCAGCAGTACGCATCCACGATTCCGCTTGCGGGATTTGAACCTGGGGCATTCAGTCACGCTCGAGAACACTTAACCCACTGGGCTACTGAGCCTGGATCCAGTGGTGTTAGTGTCTAACCTCAACCAATCCACGAAACTGCGCAACCATCTTCTATTGTACTGAGGTAGATACCTCTCTCTACTCGACATGGATTAGCTTAACTGGTCACAGCTTCCCACTAGAACTCCGAGTTGAATTGATGAGTAAATTGAAGCTAGACAATCACGGAAAACCTTGAAACACTGGACGGCCGTTTCGTCTTAGTATGGAACACATCGGCAGTGTGCATTCTAGGGAGAAGCTGTGATCAGTGTAGTTCAACCGGGTCTGTTGTGAGATAGTAACTCATTGATGACAATGGTGGACGGTGGTGCGATTTTGTGAACTGGTTGAAGTTAAACAGTAACACCGTCCGATGCCAGCTGACCCAGTAGTCTAAAAGTTAAGCGTTTGCACGTGATACCGATACATCCTGGATTCAAATCTCACGAGGCGGGATCGTGGACGCACACTGTTGAGGAGTCTCATTCTAGGACGAGACGGTTGTCCACTGTTTCCAAATATCCCATGGTCGTCCAACTTCAATTGACTCATGAATCCAACTATTAAAATCACTATCATATCCACAAAACCCCTCTCTCATGCTAACTCTATGTTTAACTGTCCGCAGGGTTTTTAGTGAACATTGGTTAAGAGTTCCAAAGTACAACGAGGTAATTGTCTATTATCTCTTGATTTTCAATTTATGTTGAACTGTGGTAAATTCTCAATGTCCACCATGAAATTCAGCAATCTTCACTAACCCATAAACTGATAGATTTTAGTCTGAGTTTTTTCTAGTTTGCCGGATTCTTAGTCATGAAAAATGTGTGTTTATTATTATTATCATTATTATTATTATTGTCATTGTTATTATCATTACAACTTAATGTTAAGATTTTAAACTGGAATGATAATTTTGACAATAATTTTAGAAAAGCTGTTGTCTAATGTAATGTGAATGATTCTATCCTTTACAAGTAGTTTAAATGTAAGTATTTCTGTCTAAACTAAACTACTCCATGTAACATGGCTGAGAATCGATACCAATGGCGTAGGTGTATACATTCTCTATCTTTCCTTAAACTGTGAGATGAAAATTGTTTTATGCCTTTCTTTCTACGAACTAGATCTTTCTTCCTGTATTATATTCTTATACACAATTTTATATATTACTATCGTTGAATTAACTACTTCTATGAATTTGTTATTCATCTTGTTGTGTTAATGGGTTTTGGCAACAGTAGATTGTTGCTGATACTGCCTGGCCAATGGATCCGTAGTACTTTACGTAGACAACTTTTAATAAACACTTGTATCTTCTGGATGGTGGTTTTCGTAAATCTCCAAGTTTCCACCCCTTTCAGTAGAACTGTCTTGACATTTGTATTGAAAATTCTGACTTTGGTATTGGTTGACAGTTGTTTTGCGTTCTCGATAGTCTTCAATTTTAGATATGCTGCTCTTGCTTTGTTAATCTGCGCCTTCACAACTGCGTCAGATCCCCCGTACTCATCAGTGATGCTGCCTAGATAGGTAAAGGTGACTTAGTAGTTCAGTGGTAGTGCAAGATACTAGGTTCGACTCTCTGTGAATAAACAACAACAGTGAGTTTCATATAAATTGAGCGGATGAATACCAAATAGAACGAAGTACTTACCCTAAATTTTTCTACTAAGCACTATCTAATATTATGAAATAACATTTATTTTAATCCTTAAAACTTACTATGTTTCAATAATTTTTCCTTAATAATAATTTATACTAACTCCAAAATAGAAGTATGTAGCTAATGTACAGAGGTATTAAAAAAACATTTATCACTTTGATACGAACTCAACACATCATAGAATGTTACTCGTTTAACGTCTTGTTTCTACAGAGCGTGTGAAATTTCAAATATATTCTTTTACACCCTATTTTTCGAGAGTCTGTTAATAGATATCTTAAAATTATGTTTCTATATTACTGAAATCTTAGGTATCAATTAAATATATGCCTTTCTTTGATAAAAAAAACAATCATTTTCCCTATGTAATTCCAGTGTTTTTAGTTAACATGACGAACTGTCTTTAGCTTCTTAGAACTTACTAGTTTTCAATGGTTGCTTAACTATGGTCACTTCATGTTGTAAACTAAAGAAAATTCGACAACCTCTACAAATTCAAAATAATAAGTCCCTTAGATAAACGTGGATAATACAATTAGAAGAAACAGGTTATCAGACATATAAAAGATATTTGTACAATACATTTCGAACAGTTTGATGCCACATATTCTGTTTAAGGCATTTTTCATACAAAACAAAAAAAGTCAATAGTTAGGCGTTAAGTTCTTTTTACATCAATGTGAAGTACAAACAATCTTATGCGGTTTACCATTATTGTTATTTTCACAAGAGAAACAAATTAATCGCTGAGCTGTTAGTTTTTTTTGCATTTTATACTTTTACCTAATATCTGTCAATCTATGAAGCAAGTATTTATGTTGCCATGGGGAATATTTTTTTGTATTTCTATCCAACTAATACCTTTCTATATCATTTTCTACCAAACGGTTGATAACTAGTCTAATTACAGCTTTTTGGATAATATATATGCTACAATAATAATGATATGAATTTTGAATTAGATTTTTGTTTGATTAGTATTGGATAATGGAAAGCATTGTAGTCTCGGACGCTCGTTTCATCGTATTCGACATTTTTCGGAGAGATGTACCCAGATATTAGGGATGGTCAAACCGGAACTCAAACCCAATATCTTGTGAATATCTCACAATAGTGAGGTAATCCATTAAGAGCTCGTATATATCAAAAATTAGTGATTGGCTGCAATCCTTGTTGTCGATAGGTAGAAGTCAGGTTTTAATATTTAAAATATTTGAAAGCAATTCTTTGAACATTTATACATTAAGGCTTTCATAATATTTGCTATCATTTATAAGTAGTATATATACTGAATTCATTATTTGACTTAAACAAAAAGAACATTACAGTTAACGTAATATTCTATACACATAATAGTTTCAAATAATTATCCTTTTATCTTTTTATATCTTTGATATTTAGAATTTTCACTTGTTGAAATCATGAGTCAACTGAAGCTAGACCACCATGGAAAACCTGGAAGCACTGGATGGCCGTTTCCATGGTGGTCTAGCTTCAACTGACTCATGATCTCAACCATTGAAATTACTATAATATCCGCAAAACCCATCTGATATTAATTTGAACTATGCTCACTAGTGACTAGCTTCAAGAGGTATATTCTGGAGTTCTAGTGAGAAGCCATGACCAGTGGAGTTCAACCAGGTCTGTTGTGAGATAATAACTCACTGAAGACAGTGGTGGATGTGTCGCTCAATTTAGTGGATTAGTTGAAGTTAGACATTAACACTGTTGGATGCCTGCTCAGTGGTCTAGTGGCTAAATGCTCGCGCGCGAAACCGGTAGGTCCTGGGATTCGAATCCCGCGGGGTGCAGGATCGTGGGTGCGCACTTCTGAGGAGTCCCATACTAGGACGAAACGGCCGTCCAGTGCTTCCAGGTTTTCCATGGTGGTCTAGCTTCAACTGACTCATGATTTCAACAAATGAAATTTCCACAAAACCCATTGTGATTTGATTTTTACTTTTATTTAACAATTGTAAACAGTTAAAAAGAAAGCTTGAAATAAATGGATTTCATATTATTCTACCTTATTTGTTTTATCTGGCTTTATTTAAAATCATTATCTAATTAGTATATGCATAGATATGCACAATATTTGTGTAATACCGTTTGATATATAATGTATAATTCTTTGGTGTGGATTACTTATATCCATATAAGTACTATATAACGATGGTCAGGTTTAGAATGTATTTCAGTAGAAGATCAATAAGGAAAAAACGAAAACGGAACGCAATCGGTATGAAAATGCATGAATAATGAAATCTGAGACAATCGACTGATATTTACAAAAAGAACAATGAAATTTGAGACGATGGATTAATATTTTGCAAATTAACTATTTACTACATGGTTCTCAGATTTTATTGAGATGCTCTGTAATGTCGTGTCAAATACGTTCGATTGTTCCCACATGTGTTCTTGTCTACTACAATTCTACATTACCATAATATTGTTATTATTCATTCTAATAAATTTTCTCCTCTTTTCATAGGAAATTGATGGAGTAAAAGTTTGTCAAGAACAAATTAAAAATATTATAAATCGTGCTACAGCACAATTAAGGTAAGCTATTCATTCAATGATTGATAATTTATTATTATTTTATTTGTATTCAATAGTGACTACTTACAAGTAGATCGGATTTTTTCATTAATCAAAGAGACGTTATCCTTTATTATAAAGAATAATTTAACATTCAATTCGATTAAAGTATTGAAATGTTTTACTAAATTACTATGTTGAAATTGTTTTCATCTATTTCAAGGTATTTTTTTCATGAGCTGACGTTAACATTTTTTTGTGTACTGGACTATCCAATTTATGTATAACCATAGTTTCACACTAAGTTAAATCACCCAACAGTAGATTTATCAGTCAAGATGAATCTGTTCAGCCAATAAATCGATATTCTGTCGTTTAGATTAATATCATGAATGGATCTATGTTAGATCACCATTGAAAACTTGGAAGCACTGGATGACTGTCTCATCTTAGTATGGGACACCTTAGCAGTTTGTACCTACGATCCCACATGCGGGACTCGAACACATGACTTTAAAAAACTTCACCCCTAGACAACTGAGTCGTCATTCAACGATGTTGATGTCTAACTTCAACCAACTCATGATATTGTGCGACCATAAGCCATTGCCTTCAGTGAGTAACTGTCTCACAATAGATACGGTCAATTCGCTAAATAATATGACCAATAATGCAGTTTATTCACTAATATTAACTAGTTTCCAAATAGATTTAACGAAAGTTGTTAACTTAAAATGTTGTTGAAATGTACATTATTCTTACATAGATTCGTTCATAAAGACCATTTTCTTTTAAACGCCAGGCTCATCATAATCTAATGATAATTTGTGTCTATTGTTATAGACATTTGATTTTACTTCATGGTTATAAATTGTACGGGTTACTTAATATACTTTTCAATAGTGTAGAACTATTTTCCGTTACGACAAAATTACCGACTTTTTTCAAAGTTAAATTATATTTGTTCTCATTATCTATAATGAGTTAAAGGCCTGATCACATGTCTTTCCGGTCGCATAAAACCAACTACATACCTTTTGGGAGCAAATAGGTTTCGAAGCTGAGAGAATATATATCCACCTCAGTCAGTGGAAGATTGTCGGACAATATTGTGAATCGATCTATGTTAAGCACATACATCGGAGGTACAGAGCGCTCTAAGAGACCAAGGGCCCTGGATTCGATACGCGTCGTGGACATGAATACACGCTGCTAATAAAGTCCTATACTGAGGCAAAATAACTGACCAGCGCTTCCTAGATTTCAGTGATGTTGGAAGTAAGATCATTTTGTCGTGCAAAATATGAGATTGCATTCTGTTGATCAACAAAGAAAGCCATTAGCATGGGGTTAAGGCTGCTTTACTACTTTTGAGATAAAAGAAACAGTTTCGACTTCATATTTACACAATTGTAGGTTTTCAAAAAGAAAGTTAATTATTTTATTATAAAACAAAAGCCTCCGAAACTTGGTTGTTGTTGTACTAGTAACGAGAAACAACATATTTCATATAAATTTAATGTTTGTTATATGAAGACCTACTGGGCAACAATGTATATTCTGAACATATGAACGTTTTTGAGAATATTAATGATAATTTCAGGATATTAAACATGCTATTCATCTCCTCAGTCATATTTCCTCCTTTCTATAATAACCAGGTTATCTGAACTTTTCTAAATGATTTAGTCTAACAACAAGTGACTTTATTTACTGACCAATACCAAGTTTTCGTCTGGCCACCTCTTATTCCTTTTCAACTTATTCTGGCACATTATAGGTGTTCTCATAAAAACGTTTATTTACTACAAAAGACTGATGATCATTTTTATTTCATTAATACATGTATACATCATAAAACATCCTGTTAAAAGACAAAAATACAGTATTCCACCATTTTAATTTATAATATAATTAATATTTTACGATGGAGAACAAAAAGAAACTACTTATCGATTACGGTTGCTATTGGTGATATCATTTGATCTACTGAAGTTCTTGCCTTCTTTTCTCCAATTTTGTTGTTGTGAAATAATATGAACGCGTTTTTCCTTTCTCTTTCTTTCTTTCTCTAAAACAAGCAAGCAGTTTACATTTATTTTATCATATTAGTAATAAATTATCTCCTATATATGCATATGCATGTATGGTTATGATACACTAAACTGTAATGGGGTACCAATAAATAAGTTATACAGACGTAGATGTCATTATGATAGATATACTTGAGAGAAATTACAAAAGAAAAGAATAAAAGGTAATAAACTACTCAGTTTAATTTATACACACAATTAAGATAAATTTTATTCAATCAGAAGAGATATATACTAATTATGAATGCCGGTCAGTCAATCGTAATCAATTTAGAGCTTGGAACAAATGTGCTTTAGCTTAAGTTTTCATACCAGATTAGGAAGACGAGTTGAAGTTAGCCAGATGAATTTCGAAGGTGTCTAAATAACTGTAGCAGGAATGATAACGAGACAGACTAAACATTGAATATATGGCTTGAAATGGTTAAATGTAAAGTTTTGTCTGGAGGAATACTGGAACTCAAGATCCAGAGGAAGATAAAGAGAGTGTTTGTGCACCACTGCAACGATTTATGGGCCATGTCACTCAGCATCCTCAGCTAGGTAATCTACATCTACCCACGTAGTTCAGAACAGCAGTCAGTAACCTCGTGACTTAATACCACATTTCAGTTTGACCGCCCTTAACTTTCTTTCAACTTACTCTTACACCAACTAACATCGGTCACTGAGGTAGGTGGTGGTTGGACATTTCTCAACCATCTCAGTTACTGGTAGTTTCTAACCGCGTTAACCGATTTACTCCCTTTATCTAGTACAGTGCGTCTAATCTCAGACTTGCTTAAACTGTCTTTCGATAATACGTGAGCAATGCTTTCAAAATACCGGTGATCGAAATCGCGCTGCCCACACATATATTCTTTCAAGCCCTCATTTTACAGACAGAATACTGTAGAGCTGATAGTTACACAGTATACTACCCTTTGTTTGGATGGGGACTATCTTTTCTACGCCATATGTGATATAAGTTAGCAGTAGCAACTAGTATTTCTGAATTCGTGCCAAAATTTCGTCATTCATCAACCCATCAAGGCTGATGAAAGTTCAAAGATAATTGTGATGATCGACAAACTCAATTTAGTAAGTCCATGTCACTAAAATTGGCACCGATACAGGTCACTTCTTAGACAATATTTTGTATTTATTTAAAAACTGATCTACATCATCACCTAGATTCATCATATTGAGTGAAATAATTGATTATATCGATCAATTCCAATGTTTAATTTATCTTATAAGTAAGATTGGGGAAGATTTCAGGAAATTAATAGGGTACTGGGTTAAAAGGAAAAAAAAGAACTATTAAGCTATTATATATATATGTGTGTTGATATGATCGATGTTAATTTCTACAATCATAAAATTGTCCAAAATTCATTATCATTAATCTATTTATATCTATCAAAAATACACAAAATTATTATGTTTAGATTGTTTCTGTTCAATCACAACTAGATATTCATATCTAGATACAAGAAGAGTAATTTTCAAATAAATCATATTAATCTTTTTGTTGTTGTTGTTGTGGTGGTGGTGGTGGTTGTAAACTTATTAAAATTCAAATGAATTCGAAGTTATATTAGAAAAAAAGTTTTTTTTCTCACAAAATCAATTAGTTTTATATTTTATTTCATATTATTTCTCATTAAAAACAAAAAATAATAAAATCATTAAATTCTCTTTGAACTTCTTTGATCTTCCCGTTGCCATAGGAACCCATTTGTTTTTTGTTGTTTTTTTTTGCCATCTCATAAGATTTTCACGTTTACTATCATATATTTCAATAGTTCGATTCACTGTTGAAGATTGAATTTTATGATTAGTAAAGAATACCTCATGTTTATTACTAGATATATGTTATTTTTTTGGTTATAATATGTATGTAACATTTTATTTTGGGGGGTAGGTGGATGTTATTAAGTTCATTTATGTTGCTTGGCTACAATTATAGTATTAGAAGTTGACAATAAAGAAGGGCAAAGAATTACAAATTTCTTGTTGAAATATCGAGTGTTTTTTCTTTATTATTGTTAGCTATTCCAAAGCCATTCATTCAAATGATGATATATTGAAATAAGTCTATTTTGATTCTTTTCTACATGAAGAAAAACAAATAGGTATTTTTCAATGAATAGAAATGATGTAATTCGTGTGAATATGAAATGCATGTTTTATGGTACTTATAATATTTCTAAATTAAAAGTAGATTTTTACCTCACGCTGATGACTTTAAACCGAATTGCTGGGTACTGTGCAAGTAGATCAAGAGAAAGTTATCATGGGCAACAAACTAAGGACATAAGATAAGTTCATAAAGTTACTTATTGTTAAACTAGCTCTTATATGCAAGTCGAGATCTAGGCAACAGTTCAAGACATGATGCTTGATGTTGACAGATGTGGTCTGAAATGCATCGGAGTAACCCAGTTACATTCATTCCTTATCTTTCTTTAAATATTGGAATAATTTTTATCCCGTATTTTTTATTCTTTACTTTTCGTCTGTCTGATTTGGATTACTGTCTTTAAAAAGCCTGTATTGTTTATGTAGCGCACAAAATTATCGAATTATGGTATTATTGTCTCACAATAATTATAATATATCAGTTTTATCATGCTGATAATCAAAAGTCAGAGAAAACTATGAAATCCCCATAAAAGTTACAAACAAACAGACGTTTCATTGTGTAACTAGGAATAGCAAATTGATCGATTAGATTCAATACTTCACCTAACACATAATCTGATACTGATGTTTTCATGATTATAGAAACCTACAATGTATGATAACTATATACGACATTTATTCTAATTGTCATATATCAATTCAACAAAATTGTACTGTCTATTTTAACCAGGCTAAGAAGTTTATAATGAATAATATTTAGCATATAAACGTTAAATTCACTTGATAAAAAATGTCATTGAACCATTGGTTAGATTAAGAAGATTATGTCTTATTTATGACTAACTGAAATCCTTTGATATAAACACTTTTGACTTAATTCATTTTGTATTCGTAGCTTGCATCTTCCCATTAATGTTTAGGATAATAGTTGATCAGTCTCTTATTCCTATATGTGCATCTTGTGAAAATTGTCTCGATACTGATCACCTGAAGACTTAAACATCAGTGGGAAGATTCAAATAACCAATACAAAAATGAATTAAACTTTATACTTAGCACAAGCTAACGGTTATCTAGACTCAGTATCTAAGTGGATAACGCGATATGATATTGGGTTTTAGTCTCAGATTGAACATCAGCTCTGGTTATCAGGTACATCCAGCTGATGATTCACAAATAGGACAACACGCGCTTCCTGGATTCCACCACTAGCCACCATACATCTCTACTTTTGATCAAATTTAAAATGAACAGTGTTTTATAATACCTATTAACAACTTTTAGCAAGGTTCGTTTTTACGAGATAAGATTGTTAATCCTATGTCTAACCATCCTACATTATCTAGGATTGAGATGGGTAGTAAACCCAGAAGGTGACAAGATAGAGGTACGATATTTTTTTACATGAATTCCTAACTAAAGGCGTTATTTTGGTATTGATAAAGGAAGAACGCACAGATTGATACAAATTTATTGGAATTTAATACTATGAAAATTTTAGATTATATTAAACTAATAGTAAATTAATTATGATTGAAATTGTTTCCACCAATGTATGTTCCATGGTGTTATTCTGATACTTCAGTCGTTTTAGCATTTAAGGAATTCCTTAACAAGGGTTGCTGTTTTAGAAACTACCGAATAACTCAATGGTTGACGGACACAAATAAAACATTTAGTTTACATTACAGACTGACCTTATTCTGACTAGTATTGAAGATCAGGAACCAATAAACAGCTGCTTTATCCTAGTATGGAACTCTTCAACAACATACATCCACAACCTCATCATAGATCATTTGGTGAGCATTTAATCTTAAGAGTACTAAGTTGGGATTCATTTGGTTTACATCTTAAATTACAATCAACTAACAATATTGTACTACCATCTCCCAGTGGTTGCGGTGTTTAAATACCTCACACTCAACATGGTTAAATTACATTTATTACGATTGCTCAATAGAATTCCAAAAATTACCACCGGAAATCAGACATTAGTTAGTTGTTCAGTACTTCACAATTTTTCAAATGTTTGTCTAACTTCTCTCAACCCATAATGTAAAGTATCAAATTTAACTATCTTTACAACGCTCTCCTATAGTAACAGCAACTGAATAAATTGTTTTTATGTACTTTCATTAAGATTAAACAATATTCTACTCTAAATTATATGGGAACATGTATTTATATATACAGGATGAAATTTATTACTATTCCTTTATTTACACTGTAAGGAATATCTAGTTATTTTGTGTCTCAGTAAATAAAATCAACAAAACTAATATTGTTCTTCAATACTAAAAGTTTATTCCAGTGACGGAATAACAGAAGGAACTGTCACTAAAAATAATGTATTTTCGACTATTTCTAACATTCTTGTTCATTTATCATCACATTAATAGATTATAACTCATATTTTTGTGTGATATATATATAAAGAAAATTTACTAAACTAACACTATCTGAAGAAGGGGTTTTTTGGAGATTGTAGTAATTTCAACAGTTGAGATCATGAGTCAATTGAAGCTAGACCACCATGGAAAACCTGGAAGCACTGAACGGCGGTTTCGTCATATTGTGGGACTCCTCATCAGTGCGCATCCATGACCCCACCTCGCGGGATTCGAAGAGTCATTTTCGACGAGATAACACTCGATATTCGTTTTGATCGAGTCTTAGATTCATTTTCATATTGGATTTGAACTGTCATGAGACCGGGGATTCTTTGGGTAGTTAGAATGAAGATGAAACAGTTTTACAATAGTTGCATATAGACAACGGCTCCCCAGCTGTTAATAATTTAAATCGAAGGTTGCCGAGAATATCTTTGCACACAGGTCCCTGTGAAAAATACACAAAATAATAATAAAGAATTTATCGTTATAATCGTATGCACAACTAGTAGGTCCTGGGTTCGAATCCCGCGAGGTGCGGGGTCGTGGATGCTCACTGCTGAGGAGCCCATACTAGGACGAAACGGCCGTCCAGTGCTTCCAGGTTTTCCATGGTGGTCTAGCTTCAATTGACTCATGATTTCAACTTGTGACAATTAAAATAGTTGGAACAGTCAAACACATCCCACTTGGATTGTATTTTTTATGTTACTTGTAGTTTGTGAGTAGTCAAAAAGTGAAGCAAAATATTGACTATTAATTCGACACCAATAAATGACACTTTATTTTCGGTCAAATAAATGTCGTGTGCCACAGTATTGTCCACCTCCACCCAGAAATTATACAGAATTCACAGTCACCCTTCAGATTTGATGATGATTTGTTGATCAGAACTCTCCTTGGTATGCAAAAACCCAGTTTTGATTAAACACAAGTTTCGTTTTTGGATGAGTGGGGAATGCTGGAGTAAAATGCAGCATACTATTTAAAGTGAAAAATGGATTGATAAAACTCTGAATCTTTATTGTCTAAGGTGTTTGCAACACTTATCACGTATAAACAGCCACTGTCTAGCTTTGTATGTGATGATAGCTGGTATGGGAGTAAGTTGAAAGATATGAGCAACCAAACCAGTGTGCACCAATCTATCTAGTCACTGACAGTTGATCTGAGTCATGTAAATTGCATCAAACTATCTTGTTAGGGTCTGCATGAATAACGTAACCAATTATTGAAGACGATGAATGACATGACTCTGAATTGATTGCACTGGACCAGATGTATTTGCTCATTTTCTTCCTCCAAACTCTGAGTTTCAAAATCAACTTACACTATTTAGTTCCATGGATTAATTTTATCTCCTCATATCAAATATTTCACCCCTAATCTTTTATATCACAAGTGATATTGTTAATAAATCTACTCCATATTGTTTTTCTTGATAATTTTATCTTGTTGTATTGATGTGATGTGACAACCTGAACTGATGCAAATATGTGTCAGGCTCTGTGTTGTTTCTGACTAACTAACCGACTGACTATGGCAGATTGTTATCCAAGAGAGGAAACATAAAGTCTGAGGATACAAATAACTAACGTATTAATAACATTTTATTGTAATTTCACATACTTATCTTTCAATCATTTTCTCAATGTAACTAGTTAATTTCTTCTTCCAGTTTATGTCGTAGTGTTCAACATGAATTAGAACAAGATAGTTCAGATAAATTTAGAGCATTACAATTGGATCAATTAGCTCATCAATTACGTAATTCATCGGCTAATATTGCACTATATGGTGATATTGAGAAATTAGAAAAATGGTAAGTGAAAAAGATATTAAAAAATAAATTATTATTACCCCATGTTTCATAGAATAAACTTTTTCAAGAAAAAATTTCTATACAATTTTATTGTGTGATAAACTTTAAATCCGTCAGATAACCATAATGAATCTGTTAACTATGTGTATCTACCCAGCCAACGGAAGTTACTAAGTAAATGGCAACTAACTCAACTGTGATAGATTACAATCTGAGTCGGAAAATCTCAACATTCCTTTTTTTCTCTTTTCTATACTTAAGTCTTTCTACCATAAATATTACTATAGATACTCCCTTGATAATTTTATCTCACTGTGCTAATGTGGTTTGACAACTTGAACCAATCAACATGTGTCAAGTTCTACGTTGCAAATGACTAACTAATTGAATGAATATGCCATTGTTCGGTAAGCTAGAAGAAAATTATCCGGAATCTCACTTATCGTCCCCTTCCCCTTTGTCTATGAGAGTGTCTGTTTTAATGTATCAACTACTCTTCCTGATTAATCGATTAACTGAGGATGGCATGGAGGCAAATGAATATGCTTCACGGTTAATTTAGAGATGAATCCTGAGGATATGGATGAAATGAACCATATTCCATATCAGTTTAATTTCTGTGTTGTATTTGTTCAAGATTGGTATCATTTAATGGACCATTGAAGACCAAAGAGTACTGGATAACTCTTTTGTTCTAGTATGGAGTTCCTAAATAGAACACATCGACAATTCTACTGTACCTGTTTTTTCTAATGGTTATGCGTTTGCCATGAGACATGAAGACACTGGGTTCAACTTTTATGGAAGTTATATGTCCCCACTATTGAGTCCAGTTGTAGGACAAATTGCCCATCCACTGTTATCTTGTCTTCAATGGTACCCAAAATGTGACCGATAAAACTTAAATCTTGAATTAATTTTCAAATGTTTCTAGATAAATACATTACGTATGATCTTTTGTTTTAAGTTATTTCGTTGTCAATACAGTTAAGCAATTTGTAGTGTATTGTGAATTGTAAGCAGTTCATAGTAAACTGTAATGTACTAACAATTATATTACACTTATTTTCACATTTAAGTACATATATATGTGACCTCCATCCTCATATATTTGAATATTTAGGATGAGTGTACCGGAAAAATGGGCTGAACACACAAGCGCTAATTTAAAACGTTCTCAAGCTGAACGTGCAGCAAGTCGATCTATTCGTGAAGCAATTGAACATTGTTTAGGAGCAACATTCAGTAGAATACGTGATTTATGGTCTTCAACTAATGCATGTTTATCTCAACGTATACAAGAAACAATGGAAGCTAAGAATAGAATACAAGTTCAATTAGAAAAAGTATGTTAATTATCATCTTTTGTCGTTTCTATACTATTGCAAATACTAAAAATAGAAAAAAACACTATTAAATTATAAAACATTCATAATTTCTAAGGTATTTAACTAATTAAATTACTATACTATCGTCATGACTATCGTCTAAATTCATTAACACTATTTCTGCTAACAAACGTTTTAAGTGATTAAGATTATGCTTTAAAATTTTACTCATCTTATAAATTGCTGGTTAAATACCTCCATTAATATTACGATTTATATACTGTTGAGGTTTAAAACAGAGACTGTTGAAAACAACTGAAGTACAAAGGCTGGTCTATGTGACTAGGTATATTGAACGATATATATATATATATATATATCCCTTATTGACAATCAACCACACATGAAAAAAAGTGAAGAGATGGACTTTCAGGAGAGCTTTTATATTTCAAGAAAGAACAATGAGATTAGTATATGTGTCAATATTATAAGACGAGGAAGCCAATCAGAACAATTGAAGATTAATGATATTGTCATGTTATGAATGTTATGATGATATAGAAGTGTGATAAGGCTCAATCAATATAAACACGTCATAATAAGACTGGTTCGGGTTGACTGTAACAACTAGTTCTATATCTTAACATTAAAAAGAAGTGATATTACCAATTTTACCTTCTTTCATCTTTAAGGAGAGCATGTCTCAGTACACACTGACCAGTAAGCTGATGAGTATACAAATGACAACCATTCTTCAGACCCATATATATTTTAGAAGGTTGTACGTTTATTTCCCAGTATCACAATAAAAATTTTCATTACTAACTGAAATCACATGAAAACTGACGAATACTTTACATCTGTTTCCACCTACTTTTAAATTTTCTATATGCCGTTCTCACGAGTTCGACTAAATAGCAGTGAACACCATACGTTTAGATGAATTTTTAAGAACCCAATGGTATACATTTTCATCGTCATCATCATCAGTAATAACTGTTATGCTCCCTGGTTTTCGACGATATGTTGACCGATATCGATCCTTCTTGAAAGTCGATTCCAAATTAAATCAGTCCTCAAAAAAAAACTATATACCAAATATCATTGTTGATTTGAACCTTTACAGACACACAAACACTACTAGTTAAGTTAGCTTCAAATATTGAATATATATGTATATTATTGAATACAAGCACTATATAATATTACGATTGGCATCAGATAGAGTATGTTGATATAGTTTCTTTCACAGAACAATTGAATGACTCATTCTATAAAGTGACTGGTTCTCATTAACAAGAAGACAGTTGACATTGAATCGATCTTGTTGGTTCATGAAAATTGTCAAATCTATAAATAAATCTTGTTCTAGAGTATTAGTGGTTTTTATTCTAAGCATAGAGTATTTCTCAATAGTTTTCTTTTAAAAAATGGTATTCTAAGCTGAATTTCTTTTTAATACTTAATATGAATTTGGTAATTTATTTATATGTATGAATACGTCGACTCAAATCTGTTGTGAAAGAATGATGACATTACTCGATCACTAGTTCTTAGCGTTGATCATATTTTAACTGATCAAGTTACTTTGTGATCATTGTTCTAAGTGATTCGTCGTCGTTTGCACCATGTTAGTTTGCTAGATGATGTAGGTTCGAATCCAACTGATAGCATTAGTTCTTTCAAGATTGTAGGTAAGCGCTGTGTCAAAAATCATCTAAACAACATTTTTTAAAAATCATTTTTGAATAAACACAGATTTGAGTCTCGTAAAGAACTTATGGTACATCAAAGTGTTTTGGAGTTTTTATTGATTTCTCTAAGCTAGAGGGTTTAGTTGCGAAGCTTTTATTACCGTTTTAGACAATATCATCAGCTCTTACTTCATGTAGAAATGAACTTCATAGTTATTTCATTTATAACTATCAGCTTATTCTGATTGTCTTGTTTATTGTCGTCATAGATTTCATTGCTTTCATTTTTCTCTTGTATTGTAGTTGACTGTGTTTGTTCCGTTGAGTTCTGACCATATTGTTGACTGATCGTTCTCGAATAAGTTGATAGATTGAGTTTATTTTTATATATCTTTTGATTGTTAGTTGGTTTGAATGTTATGCTTTTAGAGACTCCCTGTTTTCCTAATCGGATTTTTGTCCATGTTTGTCTATTTGCATCAATATCAATGATAATTTATCGTGTTATTATACTAGTAGTCAATACTCGTCTATGCGTACGTGTAAAGGTCGTCCGTTTTCTCCGAGGTCGTTTTATCATAATCAGTTAAGTTGTTTCATTGTTTGTTTTTGTTTTTTTACATTGATCTATCTATAATTTTCATGAATCGATGAACGTATTATTAACTATGTTAATGGTTGATATCAATCAGTAATTCTTTATACTCATCTCAAAACAATTAGTTGTAATTATTTTGCACTTGTATATAATTACCGATTAATTGTTGAAATATTCAATGTCTTAAGTTTAAACTCATCCTATTACAATGGTTAAGATCATGAGTCAGTTGAAGCAAGACCACCATAGAAAACCTGGAAGCACTAGACGGCCGTTTCGTCCTATTGTGGGACTCCTCAGCAGTGCGCATCCACGACCTCGCCACCTGCGAGGTTCGAACCCAGGACCTACTGGATTCCTATTACATTTTCTCTTGTTCAGATCATTGAATTTTGTATTTTATACTGTTTCTGTTCATCACTTCTCTTTCTCTCTCTATCTTGTTTTCTTTAAACATTATTTTAGATTAATCAAGAATTATTTGATGTTGAGAAGAATATGGAATATTTAAAAAGATGTATAGCTGATAAACAAGCACCACTGAAAGTGGCTAGAACAAGATTGGATTTACGTAATCGACGTCCAAATATTGAATTATGTCATGATGATCCACATGAAAGGTAATCATGTTTTATAAAGAGTCAATTTTGTAAATTATTAACAGTTTACCAAACATGTACTTGAAGAGAACACATTTGTTTGTTCGACGAGAACAAGTAAACTAGTAGATACACATTCAAATGGTCTTTATTGCATTCTTGGATTATTAAGATTGAGTTCAGATTGAATATGATTGTAAAGACTAAAAAATTACCTTTTGACTACATTAAAAGAAAAATTCTGTCCATTTGTATTACAGCTTGTATAATCCAGTAGATATCTGATACAAAGATTTATTAAGAATAAAGTACAGCTTCATGCCACTTTATTGTGGATTTACTAGTCTACTTGTTCTTTTCAAGTATGTTGTAGTGATTACATGAATCGTACAATTTCTTAAAGTATGTCCGTAAACCGATTTGTATAGTTATCCAAAAGTTGATTCAAATCAATCAACATGTAAGTTCAATTACTCTGATTTATTATACATAAAGAACTAAACCTAAGTTCCATGTTAATTAACATTTGTTGACAAGGCATATCGTCAATATTGAAGAAGCTTATGCTATCCATGTAAGTAAATAGTAGTAAGTAGTTCAAAAGTCTATAACCGTTAGGATGAACTATGTAGGTGGGTACAGATTACCAGATTAGGTTTCTCACAATTATCATAACTAACTGATTAAAACAATTAGTGACATAACTCAGAATCGATGATAATAGCTCAGTTGCAATCACTCATTATTTATATTAGGTGTTGAATTTTAAAATTATCTTATACTTTTTATTCCGTGAATTCATTATTTCCTCTGGAATCATATCACTTATGCTTCGTCTTTTCAACTATCGCTGTTATGATTACTACATCTAATACTCTGATATTTGTCACTGATGATTTACCTTTCTTTTTCGATGATTTGTTATGGCAACTCGAACAAATACACATACTTACCAAGTTTTGCAAGGATTATAATTTTTGTGATTGAGATCGTGGACCGATTGATGTTATACCACTACTGAAAACCTGGAAGCACTGGACGGGCGTTTAGTCCTATTGTTGGACTCCTCTGCAATGCACATCCACGATTCCTCTCGCTGGATTCGTGCTCACTAGTGACTAGCTTCTTCAAAAGATTCTCAGAGTTCTAGTAAGAAGCCGAGATCAGTAAAGCTAATCCGTGTCGGGCAGAGAGGTATCTACCTCAGTACAATGAGAGATGGTCGAGCGATTTCGTGTATTTGTTGAAGTTAGACATTAACACCTTTGGATGCCGATCAGCTCAGTGGTCTAGAGGTTAAGTGTTCGCGCGCGAGATCACAGGCCCTATGCTTGAATCCCACGGGTTTGGATCGCGGATGCTCACTGCTGAAGAGTCCAACAATAAAATGAAACGGTCTTTCATTTCTTCCAGGTTTTTAATGGTGGTCTAACATCAATCAGTTCACGATCTCAATCAAATACTTACTAATCTCCACAACCTCATACTGATAAGGATTATAACTGATTGATTTCATATGTTATTTATAATTTACATTTATAAAAACTATAAAATCTGTTTTATTATTGAGCTGAATATACATGATTCATTCAATTGACTTATTCAACGTATACTAATTATTCGTTCTAGTTTGAACTCGTTTTCTTATAATAATAATAAAATAGTCAGCATATAGTTCTCTAAGTTATTGTTTTCTCTGTTCAGATATTAGAATCGAATAAACTTTGACAACTAATACTGAATCAACTGTTAATTGTTATCAATATAATAGTAGTAATACTAGTTTGAACATGATTTTCATGGAATTACTTTCCTAATTATCTTAGCAAGCATATAGAACAATTTTGTTATGAAGTTCTTTCTTTTTAATAAGAATAATAAATAATAGTCTATGTCGTTTAGAAAACCAAAATTTATGTGAGATTAAAGGTTTGGCTTTTAGTGTTCAGTACAGTATTCACAATCTAGGTGTTATACCCCAATCTGAATAATGAATGGTAATTTTTGGGATCCATTTATGGAACAATACTATGAGTATATTTTTATCGTTTAGTTGTTATGTAAATAAACTGTTCATATTCATGTCTCTGTTATTATGAGTTTTATTTTGACCTATGAACTATTTATTATACGATTTACCATTCTTGAATTATTCCCTGTCTGTTAATCACTACCTCCCTCATTCACAGTCACTTTTGGTCAAATATTGTACAAATGTGATTTTCTATTTTATAGTGTGATGTGGTCTGTTTGATTTGTATATAAACCCAGTATGTTTGAAATACATGATTCATATCACGGAGGCTGAGATTGGTGTTCTGGACTCAACTGGCTGGGCTAAGCAGAAAGCAGAACCAATCAGGACTCTAGGCTGCCCGCACGTGTTTTGTGCGTCAGTGGTTCGGTCGATAATTCACTGCTCCCTAATTGGAGGTATCATAACTTATCCATTAACAGGGCACTCAGGCCACAAGTATAGAACTATGTGCACTTTACTATTCAGTAAGTGAATGAGTACTGGATATGAGAGTGTAATTTTCACTGAAAATTTCATTTTAAGATTTAACCTTCATTATTCTAGTATTTGTCATCCACCAAGTTGATACACTCTACACTGGTTCGTTCATAGCAGACCGATGTAGATAACTATGAATAATTGATCTGAAGTGAACATAACAATCCTGTGTAACACTTATCTAATAAATGAATAAAAATAGGTTACGGGTATTGTATACTTATTGAATAATGAAAACAGTATAGATAAGCATACATAATCAAGAACAGTGACTAAATCAAATGTTAGGAAATCTGTCTAGAATGATTATTCTTAATACCGATTAGTCAATTATTTTGGTAATAATAATATTGAAGTTCGTTATATTTATTTGATGGTTATCAGCAAAATTCAATATATCCATTTTGTTTCATTTGAAACTCCATGAGGGGTAATAGGCCTAAGTAAGTTAGTCGGACTCACCTGCATCTTTTAGTGTTGGCTTTCGTATTGAAACTCAAACCCTGTATCTTTCTCTTCCGATCCAGATATATTGTCCACTATGCTACTGAGTTTATTTAGCCACTAGCCTGTTCAACGGATATAAATTTATTAGTAATGGTTTATAGTTTTCGCTTACTGAAATATAGGACTGTAATTAATCAATCGCTATTGTTATGCTTACTGACTAATCTGACTGTTCCTGTTTATAATTTTTATCAAAAGTTTTAGTATGTGCATAAAATTTGTGTCTTAGATTTTATTGTCATTTCACAATCTAAATGTGTGTTATGACTTGTGGTCGTGTGCCCTATTAATATACAACGTAATGACACCGCCAATTAAAGAACAGGGGCTTATCGACCGGATCAATGGCGAGTTAACCCATACGAGCTGTCTAGAGTCCTGATTGGTTCTGCTTTCTGCTTAGCCCAGCCAGTTGAGTCCAGAACACCAATCTCAGCCTCCGTGATATGAATCATGTATTTCAAACATACTGGGTTTATATACAAATCAAACAGACCACATCACACTATAAAATAGAAAATAACATTTGTACAAGATCTTGCCAAATGTGGCTGTGAATGTGGGAGACTGTAATTAATAGACTGGGTATAACGCAAGAACCGTAGATCGTATCATAATAATCTATTGGTCAAAATAGAGCTTATAATAAGAGAAACATGAACAAATAGTTAGTGGATCGATCTACATCAGTTAGTTTTGTAATGCCAATATCGTTATTGAATATTTGACTGTACAAATACATATATTTAAAAATAACATTATCCAACATGGAATACCTTCTTATTTAATAACATATTGTCTTGCCGAGAGTTGTTGCTACCTTGACGCGTTGGTCGGGCTTGCCTATCCTGATGAAGCAACCGAGCTATAATGGCTGAAACAACCGTTCCCCAAGGTCCTACCATGTCAGACAGGTCAGTTGAAGAGCGGTGAGACTAAAAGCAACAAATTCAAAGTCCGAAGGCGAAGTCTTACTGCCGACTGTACAAGGGTGTGACAGCAGTAAGGTGTTTCCTTCAGACAACCAGCATGACAGCGATGCTTTCTTCCCACAAAGAGGGGTGGGGTCAGAAAAGGTCGACCCTAGAAACGCACTCCTCGCCTTATCCCATGGATATCCGTCTCCGACGGTAAGGTCTCAACAAGTACGGAGCTAACACAAAAATTACCCATTAAAAGGTCGTGTGTGACCGATCTCAAGTAGTTGTCCCTTGGGCACTGCGGTCACGTTCCCAGGTCACTAAGACCACCTCTAATCCAATTTCCTTTCCAGGTACCTCCAGAAAAACCCTTCCACGGTGTGGGCAACCGGGAAGTGATAACCGCCCTCATACCTCTAACAGCACTCAAGACCACTGTATTCATAATCAACCTCCGTCTTTACTTCCCATTATTCCTCCTACATCGACTTTCACCTCTAAACTTCCTTTTTCGGCTTCCCCCTCAAGTGTCACCACAGCCAATGATTCTAGTGCTCAAAACACTGTCCCAGGTCTACTGAAACCTCGCTCCAAACTACACATTGGAGCCTTCAACATACGCACTCTATGTCAAATCGGTCAACAGGCTTCCCTGGCTAGAACCCTAGAATCTCGTACCATTGATGTATACTGTGTCTCTGAAACACGCATACAGGATCCCAGTGTGGTCATTCACTTGACCTCATCTCGGCAACAAGGAGAGCCAACGAGATACGCCCTCCTTGTATCTGGTGACGCGATGGCCAGCTCTCGTTGACTGGCAGGAGTAGGCATAGCACTAAGCATGAGGGCGGAACAAGCACTGTTAGAGTGGATCCCCGTTAACAGTCGTTTATGTGCTGTTCGGCTAAACGGCTCCGTAAGAACTCGGAAGGATAGGGACACACGTCGTTGCCTTTTTGTAGTTTCTGCCTACGCTCCCACCGACTGCAGCTCAGATGAAGTGAAAGATGAATTTTACAGAAAGCTATCTGAACTTCTTCAGAAATGAGGTATGGCAACTTGGGCCGATGCATGTA